TGCATTTAAAAGTAGTGCTGCAAAAATCAGTTGAATAACCTTCAGTGCCCATTGCTCTACATCAACAGAAAAATGGGCACTCCCAAGTCCTTGTATCGACAATTCAGGCTGCTGGTGGTGGTGGTCTAATTATTGCTGACAATGTCCATCCCTTTATGGCTACAGTGTACGGTTTGCTCGCTATTTTCCATCTAGTGAACACGGGAGTTTCATATCATGAATGTGTAGCCAAACAAGCACCTGTGTGATGCTGTCATGTTAATATGGACCAAATCTCCAAGGACTGTTTCCAACACTTTGTTGAATCTCTGTCACAAAGCATAAAGCCATTTTTAAAAGCAGAAGGAGGTCAACCTGGTATGAGCAAAGTTGAATTGAGTGTATTCCTGGTAAAATTAAACAGAATATACAGCTGACATGCTCGATTTCAGAAACCCAAACTTATTGACTGTGAAGGTTCTCAGTCATCCAAGTCATCGTAGTCTAAGGCAGGGGTCCCCAACCCCCGGGCCTCGGACCGGTCCGTGAGTCGTTTGCTACCAGGCCGCGAGAGTTGAGGCTCAGGTGTGAAATGTATGGTTTTTATCGGTTTTCAGCGTTATTTTGTTATCGTTTTTATCGTTAACTCTGTGTCCCTGGGTCTTTTCAAGTGTGTTATGAATAAGTCTTCTTTTTTTCGGTACCGGTATTAGTTTTATTTTGTTGTATTTATCCGCGACACCTTAAAGGCCGGTCCGTGAAAATATTGTCGGGCATAAACTGGTCCGTGGCTCAAAAAAGGTTGAGGACCGCTGGTCTAAGGAGCTTGGAAAGAAAAGAGTCTGGACTTCTTTAAGTTGCTTGAAGACATTTCACCTCTCGTCCAAGAAGCTTCTGCATGCAGAAGAACCTTATTGAGTTTTTTTTTTTTTTTTACTGTATAGCCTGTTTGTTTTTCACTCCAAGTTGTGACGATAGTTTGAGTCACCTATCATGCAGAAACTGAAAAACATTTGCTGCTTCTGCAAGGATTTCCTGTTTTGTCTGTTTTTATGTTGCTGTAACTAGAATATTTAAAGTGTGAAGACCTTTGATGTTCCAAAGAATCAACAGAATGACATTCCAACAACATACAGTATTATTATTGTAGATCTCATTTTACGTTGTGATTTTTGATGCAGTTGATAGAGTTATAATGCTGCTAATGGAAATCTCTGCTTCTGATTAATTAATTAATTATTAGCTAAACCTTTGAATGTCATTTCACTTATACAAAAATGATCTGCAGTTTTCCCAAACTGGACATGATGCTTTTTCTGTTTAATCCTCACGCTCACTTTAAAATGTGCACGTGCGAATTTCAAGCTTACTCTTCTGTTTAAATCCTTAGTTTCATTTGTCCTTTTACCACTTCTATCGCGATCTCTCTGCCTTTAATTTAAGTTTTAATCGAAATGTCTTTACTGACACACTACATGTGTAACCACAGGGAATAAAACAGATAAATGAGCATAGAGCATGCTTTGTTGCTGCTTAAGTTAAAGGCAAAGCATGCATTTATTTATTTATTAAATGCAATTTATATCAAATACAGTTTGGTGCAGCAGTAAGAGGGAGGAGTCAAGATTGTAAGTATAGACATTGCAAAAACAGAAACTTTTCTTCCTGTGTCTAAAAATGTCTTCAGCCCTCTGCTGCACGCACGCACACACACATGCGCGCATATCTTTCCAACAGTATAAGCAGTGTGCATGCAGCAGTTGTGGTGCAGGAACTTGTTTGTTTAGCTTTGAGTATTAGTCAGCTGGTGGTTTTGCAGTATTTCTGTGTGAGCTTGAAACCTTTCACAGTTGGCTCAAGTATAACATTTTCTCACCTTCTTGCTTTTGAACTTTGGACGCTCACATTTTCACACACAAGTCTGGGTTCACCTAGCAATGGCTGCTTGGACGGCATAGACTTTGATGCACATAGTCAAGCCAATACTCTTCTCTTTAAAGTGGCACCTTTATCATGCATTCAGCATTTGTGTTGTGGTTTCGCAGATGACAGATAAGCTATGGCGCTATCAAACACTATGTACTATGGTCTCCAACATACATGTCTCACAAAATTGAATCATTAGTTCCATGTATTATAATTGTCATTATATCTCTAAAAAGCAGGTGCACATCAGAACATGCGCGGAACATAACCACACTGGAAACGATGACCAAAACACTCACTGGAAAATGTCAGGAATTGATTACCCTGCTGACTGAGGCTGACAGCACAGACAACCCTTCACATGCAAAGCAGGATGTTTTCACTTGGCTGCGTTGAAATTAAACGTTCCGTCTCATGTGCGAATCTTGAGACGAGTGAGAAAAGCTTTTGCTAGAAAAACGGGAGAAATGGCAGCCCTTAGTTAGCTTTCTCAAAAAGCTGAAAAGCATATGTCTGCAGCCATGTTTGATTGAATTATATGATATAATCCACGACTTAAGAAAAGCTGAGAGCAACTGCTACCCTGTGAGTCAGCCTGGCCTGCAGCCGATGCCCTCTGTCCCTCCCACTCACACAGCAGGACAACGCTGTGCTTATGTAACAGAGAAGTAGAAAAGGGATACAAGGAGACTTAAGATAGAGGAAGGAAGAGAGGCTAAAAGAGAGAGGGCAAGAAAGAGAGGAGAGCGGCTAACCGCATGCCTCCATGTTTTCCGCTTGACAGCTTTGCATTAACCACATTTTGTCCTCGTCTTCCCCTTCATCTCCATGAGTTATTTACTTGTTATTAAAGCACTTACACTTGTCATATTAATAAAATCGTCATGAAAATTTGATTAACAAATCTTTATAGAGAGAAGTCAGAAACCCACAGTAAGCTGATTTAAAATGGAATAACTTTTAATGAAAATGTGTCTGTAATCTTGTGCAGCATGCATCGGCATGTGCAATTACATCTTTTTGTTATATCAAGTGTCAAATGACTCTGAAGCTCAGGCTTATTGAAGCAGATCCAGTACTACTCTGCTTTAACCACAGCTAGCATGTTCTCATCACCTCCACCCATCTGTGGAGCGTGTTTCAGTGACGGCTTCCTGTAATATTGGCAGAGTGCACAGTGAAACTACAGCCAGGAAACTGTCATGGTTGTATGCTCTTCCCATCAGTGACTCAAATACTGATGATCAACTCAGAGTTGTAAAATTAACAGTTTGTTGCTGAGGTAGAGTGTCTTGAATAGAGCAGTCAATGCAGTTTCATAAAGCACCAAATCACAAAAACAGTAACGTCAGGCTATAATAATATAATTTCTTTGGACCTTGATTTTAAAAAGTCAACCAAATGCTAAAACTTTGATGTCATTCTTTTTGTCCCTTTATTTATTCAGACAAAAAATGGCTGGAGCCCAGAACAGGAGGACTTAAATCACACATCCATAATTTCCTATCTGGATAAATTGTCAGCAACCGCCCCCCCAAAATTCTCCATTGCCTCCACAAGGGTAAAGTTTATTGCTTATTGGATTGTGTTATTGAAAACAGAGCTGTCAGTTCCTTCTCTGATTTGCGATTTCTTTCACATTTTGCATCAGCTAATTAAGATTGTGGGTGCAAACGTGTCAGAAAAGTAACAAGGCATCATGCATGATGTCAGGTTTCCTTTGTGCCTCTGAAAGTGGTGGGCTGTGCAGGAAAAATGTCCAGTTCCATAGTTTGTATTTTGGTCTCCGCCCATGAGCTTTGGGTACAATCCGAGAAAATGACATCATAGATAAAAGTGGTGGAAATGAGTCATCTGAAGAGCGTATGCAGCGTCCCTTAGGGAT